TTGTCTGTAAATGTCCCTGCTCTTCTCCACTTTGCGGTTTAGCCAGCCACTGTACTTGGAGACTTCTACAAATTCATTCTTTAGCCTTTTTTACAGTGGGAAGGCTTTTGTGAGATATTACTAAAGTTGAGTTTTGCATCATGTTCTGAAAGTGCTCAGGGCTGGTCTCCTTCAGATCTCCTCCAGTGAGGAGTTTTTTAGCACTTGAGAAGCTAAACAGTATTCAAATTGAGGGGGTTTTAGCTAGTAGATGGGTTTCTATTAGAGGGAATTAGTATCTCCCAGATGAGGGTGAGCTTAATTTACAATGGGCTTGGGATGATTTGCTGAAACTGATCCCAAGTAGCAGAGTTTTTACTGTCGTAAGGGAAAGTGTGACTGCTTCTTTACAGCAGTGTCTGAAAGTCCAGTCTGTTGTGTTACTGGAGCACTTTCCCCCTCCTCCAACACTTGTGCTGTAAAGGTCTGTAGCTTAACATGAATCCATTTATTCAAAAAACAGCTGTTCCGGGTGCATATTGGAGCAGCAGTGTATCTGGAATACTTATCTTTGCAAGGTCAAATATGAACTGCAATCAAGGGATTTTCACACTGGGCCAGACATCAACATGGACTGTTCTGACACACAAAAAGCTGACAAATGGATTTGTAACTTTCCTGAATAGATCTTTAACCAGGAGTTCTATCCCTCCAAGCCCATCTTATCCTCCTCACTTGATCTTGCAGTCAAGATGTGATGCTTGAATTTGTGACATACTGGTCATTTCCATGGCAACAGACTGTCAAAAGGATTTGACTAACCTACAGGATCAAGCTGAAGGAGAAGCCAGTCTGTTAGGGAGAGAGGCTCTTGTTAAATCACATCTTAAATAATTAGCAATATCCACTTAATACTGAAAATTCTCAGCACCATGCTGACCTCTGATTTAGAAAGCATCAGGTGTCTGTTGCCATCCTGGTATTTCTTTTTATACCGCTGTAAAGGATGATTGTGGGAATTTGGTGAAATTCTAGTGAGGAAGTGATACAGCAGGGCCCTATCTATGCTGAGTTAGGGAGTAATGTTAGCATCTGTGTAGAGCATGACCCTAACCCTCTTGTTGCTAGGAAGGTGCTGTTTCCTTGGCTGGTACACACTAGGTGCAGTTGTGCAATAAAACCATTTAAAGCATGGTTTCTTAGGACCTGTCTACATGGTGAGTTAGTGCGCAGCAACCCAGGATGTGTGAATGTACAGCATGCCGGTTTGCCATGCTCTAATGCTCTGAGTGGACACAGCTACAGTACAGTGAAAGTCCTGGCAGTACGTTAAACTGCACTCTGGTACTTTCACAGTGCTGTAGCAATGTCCACACGGCGAGAGTGCTCAGCAAGCTGTTGTGCTGTAGATTCACACCTTGGCTTGCCATGCACTAACTCACTGTGTAGGCAAGCCCTTAACCCGCCAGGTCTTCAGTGGAGGTTTCCAGGGTGTGTCTGTGGCATTTGGGAGCTACCAGAATACAAGCTGAGAAGAGTAGAACCTCTGGGTTTTGAACACCTTGGGAATGGAGGTTTTTTGTAACTCTGAAATGTTCATAACTGTGAACAAAACATTATGGTTATTCTTTCAAAAGTTTACAACTGAACATTGATTTAACACAGCTTTGAAACTTAACTATGCCGAAGAAATGTACTGCTTTCCTTTTATTTTTTTAGTAGTTTAACGCAGTACTGTACTGGATTTTCTTTTTTCTTTTTTTTTTTTTGGTCTCTGCTGCTGCCTGATTGAATACTTTGAGCTCCAAATGAGGCATGTGGTTGACTGGTCAGTTCGTAACCCTGAGGTTCAACTGTAATAGTTTTTATTTGTAAGGTTGCATCTCCACAGGGCTTTCAACAATGGTTTTTAAGAAACATGCTTAAATTTTAGTCTCTGGAGGGCTGTAATACATTATTCTAATCCAGATTACTGGGCTCAATGCAGGAGTAACAGTGTAGGGTTTAGTGGCCTGTGAATGTGCAGGAGGTCAGATTAGATGATCTGACAGTTCCTTCTGGCCTTAAACTCTGTGGGTACATCTACATAGCCAAGCAAACAAACAAAACCAAACTCTGCTGCAGCAAGTGTCTGAGCCTGGGTCAACTGACTCAGGCTCCCACAATAGGGCTAAAAATAGCAGTATAGACGTTAGGGTGTGGGCTGGAGCCTGGCCTCTGAGACCCTCCCACCTTGCCAGAACTCAGAGCCTGGGCTCCAGTCTGCACCCTAACAGCTACACTGCTATTTTTAGCTCCATACTGGGAGCCCAAGTCAGGTGACCTGGGCTCTGAGACTTGCTGTCATGTTTTTTCTTTGTTGTGTTTTGCTGTGTAGATGTACTCTATGACCCTAATAGGGTTGCCAACCCTCCTGGATTGGCCGGGAGTCTCCTGGAATCAGAATCAGTCTCCTGGTGGCTAATGAAACCAATCCAGGAGATTTTAATAGACTGCTAAAAGTCTGGTCGGTGGCGCAGCAGGGCTAAGGCAGGCTCCCTACCTGCCCTGGCTCCTCATGGCTCCCGGAAGCGACTGGCATGTCTTTCTGGCTCCTAGGCAGAGGGACGGCTGGGGGTCTCTGCGCACTGTCCCTGCCTTGAGTGCCAACTTCACAGCTCCCATTGTGGCCAATGGGAGCTCTGGGGGCAGTCCCTGCAGGCAGGGGCAGCGTGCAGAGCTGTCTGGCTGCCCCTGAACCTAGGAGCCAGACATGCTGGTTGCTTCTGGGAGCTGCCCGAGGTAAGCGCTGCTTGGAGCCCTCACCCCCTCCGGCACCCCTGCCCCAGCCCTGAGCCTTCTCCTGCACCCAAACTCCCTCCCAGAGCCTGCACCCCCTCCCGCACCCCTGCCCCAGCATGGTGAAAGTGAGTGTGGGTGGGGGAGAACAAGTGAGAAGGGTGGGGCAGGGGCATGGCCTCAGGGCAAGGGTGTTTGGGTTTGTGCGATGAAACAGTTGGCAACCCTAGACTGTAAGCATGATTGTTCTTGCTTGCAGCTGAGCCAGGTTATAACACTGGCTTGCTGGTCAGCATGGATGGGGTGAAGCTGAGTAATAACTGGGTTAAAAAATAGGGTGTTAATCTGGGTCTCTAATCAGGGCTAACACTTCAAAACAACCTCTGCTATAACACTAACAGTATTTGTCTTTATGCATGCTGGCAGGCCAAACCATGCTGTACAGTTTGATTTCCCAATAGAACTAAAACCGTGTGTGTGTGTGTTTTAAAGAGTTGTTTCACACTGGAAAGTAAACATGGTTGTGAAAGGTGGTTGTGGCACAGCTGTGTAATAAAATGGTTTATTTTGGTCTGTGTGGGCAGGCAAAAAAGGTTATAAGCCTATTATAAGGAACTCTGTGTTAGCCTGGGCATCGAAGGTTAAAACCTGGTTCTTTAACATGGTTCCATTTGGTTTATGTTTGTACAGACAAAAAGAAACCATGTTATAAAATAGCGGAGCTCCAACCATATGTTAAACTTGGATATTTCCATAAATATAGAGACGAACTTATTTAGTGCAAGTAGATTTAGACATTTCAAGTGAGTGCCTAGCTTTAGGGACCCAAATCTTTAATTAGCAATTAAAAAAATGGGCTGGCTTTAGGGGGGCTGAGTGCACACAACTCAAGTTGGAGTCGGTGGGAGTTGCAGGTGTGCAGCACCTCTTAAACAATGGGGCCATTTTGATTTTGTTTAGGTGTGTAACTTCAGGTACCAAAGTGTGAAACTATCAGCCTTAGTCTTTGAAATGTAGTAATGCTTTTTCCAGACTCTGTGTACAGAGTACCTTACTCATTGCTTATAAGTTGGATTCAAATTATGATGTCCTGGGCAGCACAAAACAAAAGTGACTCAAAGGTATACTTAGTTTACCTGAACTTAAATCTTCAGTGTACTGGAATTCAGAGGGACACTAACTGTTTTTTCCAGATAGTATAGTTCAAAAGCTATTTGTGTAAAGAAGTGCTAGTGGATATATGAGTATTTCAAGTTTACCATTAGAGAACTTTTATCAAAGGAAGTTACTTTAAACTCTGCTGAAGGTTGTTGTCTTGCAATGCATATGTGAAGTATTACTGAACAGCCAAGGCGAGGTAGTGTGTGACATAATTGATGCACTTTTTAGTTTAAATAGTGTCCACTACTACTTAGTATGTTAGTTTTCATGTAGATCACACTGCCAGCTGAGCTTCAATTACATGTGTTCTGTTTGATTTGGGTCTTTTGAATGCAAAAGTGCAATTGCTGTGAAGGTTTATTCATGTTGGAGCTCTGTAGACAAATTTAGCCTGAAGGACTGTTTGGCTTTGGCAAACCTATTCATAAAACCAGGTGAAACACGGTCTTCCGGTTCAGATCATGCTACAGTCAATTCCTGGTAAAGGCAGCCTTTTTCCAATTAAATATGTAAGAGTTCAGGAAATACTGTGTTTCTCTTCAGAATCTATTGAATACATTTTAACTATCACATCAGAAATCTTAATGGCTGAGTTCAGTCTTGGTCAATAAAAATTGTATTTATGTGTAAATGGAAGAGGAAGAAGATGAAAAATAATAAATTAGACCAGGATATAGCAATAATAGGATTAGCTATAAAATTCCTAGGTAACTTCTAAAAAAGGCTCCTAACTACTGTAGGCCTGTATTTGAAAAAATTGGGCATGCAGCGGTGTTTCTAATTTCTGTATGTAGTTTACTGCAGATGCATTTAAGAATATTTGTCCATGCCGATGGCCAGTTATGCATTGAATTTGTATTTTGCCTAAGTACTCACAGTAGTTGTCTCTGTGTATGCTATTTTGCTCCTAGCCAGTTGAAAAAGTTGTATTTTCATGCCTTAATGGTAAGAGACAAGCAATAAATCATGTGGATGAGTTTACCCTTCTTCCTTGAGTTTGGATATGTAATATCTCTGGTACTGTAGTTCAAGGATATGTATCCTGTCTTAACCAGCTGATACATTTTTTCCTTTTATTTCAGATTTTCTATTTTGTACATACATTGTTTTGTATATACTGTATATGATGACTTCGGTGGGCAGTGAACGTACCCGGGGCACTCGGGACAAAACACAGATTTCAACCACGCAGCCAGCACAACCACAGAAACAAGTCGTACAGGTAGGTGTTGTGTAACGTCTGTCTTTCAGGTTGAGAGTAAGTGGCATATTATGATCTGCAACCATCCCCACGGTCAGTGGTTCTCAAACATATTTGATTGGGCCCCCTTCTTTGTGTCTGTAGTTGTTGTTTACGCCCTCCCACAAGTATATATACTGCCACCCAGCTCTGAAGGCGTAGCGGAGAGCAGTGACTGCTGGCTGGGTGCCCAGCTCTGAAGGCAGCACTGCACAGAAGTAAGGAAGGCAATATGAAAAGTGATATTCGTCAGTATCACTTGTCACAGCAGACCTGGCGCCCCATTGCCGCCATTAGTTCTGTGCTGCTGCTGCCTCCGCAGGGCTGAGAGTTGGAACCCTGCCACCTCCAGGTGAGGGATGGGGCAGGGGAGGAAGGAGAGCCTGAGCCCGGGCTGCCTACTGGTGAGGGAATGAGGTGCGGGGAACGAGAGCCTGAGTTGCCTCCAAGTGAGGGATTGGGGGTGGGGGGGGAGCCCAGGTGACGGGACTGCAGCTGTTCCCTTTATCCCTGCCTCCTGGGTGTGCACAGCCCTTCTGCATCAAGGACCAGTCACCTGGGGCTGACAGCTAGAGCTCTTCCCCCCCCCCCTCCAAAAAATAAATAAATGAAAAGCGCACAGCTCCCACCTCCCTTGACATATTCCCTCGCCTCTCTTGGGAGGCCTGCCCCATAGTTTAAGAACCGCTGCCCTAGGTTTAGTAAAGACTGAGAGTGGGGGAGGGAAGAAAGCATTGTATCAGTTTGGCAAGCATGTCCAGTAGCTTGTATTTTAATACTGTATTGGGTTACTGAGCAAACTGCTTGCTGGCTTCAAGCCTGGGATCCATATTCCTACATCCACGCTAGTCTTGCGTTCTTCAGCAGTGCTCCAGATCAGCAAGGAACTGCAAGGCTGTCTGCTAGTCTTCTGCCAGGATCTTATCCCACAGGCTCTTCACATCTTTTCAGACTTCAGCTCTTTCTACTGTCCAGAGGCTAGAATCTTGATGCTAGAGCAGTGGTTCTCAACCCGTGGGCCGCTTGCGGCCCAGTGAGCACACAGCTGCAGCACATGTGGCCATACAGGTAGAATATATATTGTGTGGATGCGGCCCACAGAACACAGAGAGAGCTGCGTATGCAGCCCACAATGGAGAATAGGTTGAAAACCACCGTGCTAGAGGATCTGTAGTTAGTGCTAGAGCTTGCGTGGAAGACTGAAGCTTCTCTCAGTGGCCGATAGGGACCACACTCAAAAAGGCATCTGCAGCAGGATCCAGAAAGCTTCCAGAGACCTGTCAGGTGGGGTGTACCCACAGGAAGTGGTACAATGAAGATTAAAAAAAGATTTGTATTGTGAAGGCATTGAGGTTGACACTGACTATGAAGGACTTATCATAGAAGATCAGGGTTGGAAGGGACCTCAGGAGGTCATCTAGCCCAACCCCCTGCTCAAAGCAGGACCAATCCCCAACTAAATCATCCCAGCCAGGGCTTTGTCAAGCCTGACCTTAAAAACTTCTAAGGAAGGAGATTCTACCACCTCCCTAGGTAATGCATTCCAGTGTTTCACCACCCTCCTAGTGAAAAAGTTTTTCCTAATATCCAATCTAAACCTCCCCCACTGCAACTTGAGACCATTACTCCTCGTTCTGTCCTCTGCCACCACTGAGGACAGTCTAGATCCATCCTCTTTGGAACCCCCTTTCAGGTAGTTGAAAGCAGCTATCAAATCCCCCCTCATTCTTCTCTTCTGCAGACTAAACCATCCCAGTTCCCTCAGTCTCTCCTCATAAGTCATGTGTTCCAGTCTCCTAATCATTTTTGTTGCCCTCTGCTGGACTCATTCCAATTTTTCCACATCCCTCTTGTAGTGTGGGGCCCAGAACTGGACACAGTACTCCAGATGAGGCCTCACCAATGTCAAATAGAGGGGAACGATCACGTCCCTCGATCTGCTGGCAGTGCCCCTACTTATACAGCCCAAAATGCCGTTAGCCTTCTTGGCAACAAGGGCACACTGTTGACTCATATCCAGCTTCTCGTCCACTGTAACCCCTAGGTCCTTTTCTGCAGAACTGCTGCCTAGCCACTCTGTCCTTAGTCTGTAGCAGTGCCTGGGATTCTTCTGTCCGAAGTGCAGGACTCTGCACTTGTCCTTGTTGAACTTCATCAGATTTCTTTTGGCCCAATCCTCTAATTTGTCTAGGGCCCTCTGTATCCTATCCCTACCCTCCAGCGTATCTACCACTCCTCCCAGTTTAGTGTCATCTGCAAACTTGCTGAGGGTGCAGTCCACGCCATCCTCCAGATCATTAATGAAGATATTGAACAAAACCGGCCTCAGGACTGACCCTTGGGGCACTCCACTTGATACCGGCTGCCAACTAGACATGGAGCCATTGATCACTACCCGTTGAGCCCGACGATCTAGCCAGCTTTCTATCCAGATGGACTTAGGCCATCTTTCCATTGTTTAGAGACTCAGCAACCCTGCAGTGATGGTCTAGGCCAGTCCATCAGGGTGGGGGAGGGAAAGAGAAGCTGGGCACTAATAGCCAGATTTTTTAAACAGCTTGGGAGCTGCTGGATGCCAAGCACTTCTGAAAATCTGGCATTATTTCAGGAGTCACCCATCTGTTCTGCTGGGCTGACAAGAGCCTGTCTGTCTGTCTGTCTGTCTTAGGTCAGCATATCTTAAAATATAGCAGGCTACTGGTGCTCACTTGGGGAGTGGTGCCTTTTCTTGGCTCTTGGATTGACTTGTGGTATGGGGAGGCTGACTTTCTACTTCATATAGTAGTCTCTTTTACTATGTAACCCCAAGTTTCCCCCTCTGATTTGCATTCGTAAGTCCTGAACTTGGTATCTTGCTCAACTGCAGAGACCCAGAAAGTGGTTTTCCTGGGGAGAAGCTTTATTTTTATAACCTGACAGCTTGGATACAGTAAATCTTCTGAGTTTTCCCATGTGGTGTCTAAATTCTTCTCTCCTCCCTTTTCATAAGGTGATGCTGCTTTGGTCAATTGAAGAATTACTTATTCTAAGTACTGACTGTCCTGTTTTCTCTGTGCTGTCTTCAGATATCACATTGGCACTTTTGCATGAAGGAGCTTACCAACCAACAGAAATGTGCTGTATTTTACTTTGTGGTCACTGTTTATTCATTTATCTGAATTGAGAGGATGCTGCTAACCTCGGAAGTCACCTTAAAACCCCACAGTGTAATGCTGCTCTTAATTTGAATTGAATAAGAAATTACATTACACATTTTTCCTTCCTCTGAATGGTATCACTGTTACACTGGGTTTGTAACATTTGTGTTAGTTGATTTTTTGGGGGTTTTTTTGCTTTCTGATTTTGTGTGTTGGTAGTAAGACAAATAATTAAAAATCCCTGTCAGTGTGTTTTGTGATTGGTGAAGGTTTTTCGGACAGGTAGAACTTGGCTGTCTTGTTTGTTAGTCATAAGAACTAAAAATGAGGGCGCAACCTTTTGTGGGCTAATACAGTGCTAGTTATAGAGTTGACACTTACTGAATAAGGGCAAACCAGACTGCAGATACTGAAAGCGACACGTCCCATGGCTAATGCTGGTTTGGTAACAGTGTCTGTGTTTTTTGCCCTCATAATTCAAAATGGGTGCAGCTCCACTGAAGATAGCCATAGTACAGACAGGGTTCAGGAGCTTTTACCACCATCTTCTAACTCTGGGTAATAGGACAATGGTTACATTCCTGAACTCTGTGTACATACAGATACTATTGATACTTACACTAGTGGTGTTGCACCCATTGGGATTTGCAAGTCAGAAAATCCTAGTGTAGATAAGGCCTTTATTTCCAGTTTTTCTTTGTGGATATGTCACACCTTGTATTACAGTCAAGTTCCAAAAGATTTTACTTTTTGTCTAACAATGGTTGGTTTTCTTTAAAAGCATTGAGCAGGGATAAAACAACTGGTTTCTTGTTTCTGGTCAAATAGTTGTCTCTGTTCAGGAATGCTACTGTTTGTTTCAGAGTAGCAGCCGTGTTAGTTTGTATTCACAAAAAGAAAAGGAGGACTTGTGGCACCTTAGAGACTAACCAATTTATCTGAGCGTAAGCTTTCGTGAGCTACAGCTCACTTCATCTACTGTTTGTTGTGATTACTGTCTAAATTCTTCACTGAGATAAATTAGTGGGTAGGTTATCAGAAACGGGGAAACAGATGCCGTAGCGTGACAGGAGTATTGTGCCACTAAATAAGCCCTAGCAAGTGGTTTTTACTTATTGGGACTTTGTTCCTAAAATTATTGGTGGACCTTGCTCCTTTACAGTAAAGGTACCCAAATGCTTACTGGTGTGTGCTTACATGCATTTGGTGCAACCTGATTTGAAAAGCTTAGTTTTAACTGAGGCAAAATGGTCTGTTGGATTGAACATAGAGCTGGGAGTTAAGAGCTCCTGAATACTCTCTCAGTTCTGTCACTGACTTACTCTGTGAGGATAATATATGTAGGACACCTTGAAATGCAAAGGACTGAGTACTGTGATCAGTACAAACTGATTGTCCTGCAGCCTGGAATCTGACTTTTCATCGCTGCATATGCCACTTTCCTCAAGGAACTGGGTGGGACAGCTGCAATGACTCCTCAGTAAGTCGGCAGCTGAGGGAGGTGTGTTGAAAACAATTTTTAAACTCTTCCACTCAGTGTTTAGACTTGTTGCAGGAGTGATAGCCGTCTGCCTTCTTTAACTTGTGCGCTTGTGGTAAACGCCTAACAGCACAGGCATTCTTCTTGAAAGAGGTGTTGGCTACTTTGACTCGTAGCCAAGGAATAGAATTTTACTGTGCAACCTTTCTGAGGTGGCCTCGTAGTAATGAGATTCACCCTCGACAGTGGGTTTTCACCTCTGTTCTTCCATGGATAGTTATGATCCCCTTTTTCACTAAAGTCTTTCTCAATGTGTCAGCATCAACTTGGGACCTCAATCATCTCCCCAGCATTCAGTTTGGTATGCAGCAGATAGAAAAGGTTTCATGTTTTGGGAGGGAATGGAATGAGGCCCATGAGCAAAAGGTGGCCCAAAGCCCCCTTCCTTTTTTCTTTAGAGGTTCATTCCACAGAGGCTATAGATCCCTGAAAGCCACATGATGGATCAAAATGTAGCATTACATGATGTGGCCACTAATGTCCATGGGCAGCTGCTGCTTCACCAGAAAGATGAGGGCAGCTGCAGTGTGCTCTGTTATGCCAGTCGAATGTGGCTCTTGGGGTTATGAGGAGAGGCTGAGGGAGCTGGGATTGTTTAGCCTGCAGAAGAGAAGAATGAGGGGGGATTTGATAGCTGCTTTCAACTACCTGAAAGGGGGTTCCAAAGAGGATGGCTCTAGACTGTTCTCAATGGTAGCAGATGACAGAACGAGGAGTAATGGTCTCAAGCTGCAGTGGGGGAGGTTTAGATTGGATATTAGGAAAAACTTTTTCACTAAGAGGGTGGTGAAACACTGGAATGCGTTACCTAGGGAGGTGGTGGAATCTCCTTCCTTAGAGGTTTTTAAGGTCAGGCTTGACAAAGCCCTGGCTGGGATGATTTAACTGGGAATTGGTCCTGCTTCGAGCAGGGGTTTTGGACTAGATGACCTTCTGGGGTCCCTTCCAACCCTTATATTCTATGATTCTATGGTTCCTGACATTGCCAGTGTGGGTCTGTTGTCCAAACCTATAACCAAAGCACCAACCTTTCCAACAACAAAAACAGCCATTAACAAAATTATTCAGTGACAGACTGAGACAAAGGAAACAAGTTTAGTGCTTACAGGGAAAACAAGAGACTGTTCACAAGTGAAAATGTGAGACCTAATACTATAGCACAGTCGAGAGGCTTGGTTACGCACTGACAAAGCTGTAGTGTAGATGGAAGCTGTCCCTACAACAAGGTGAAAGCACCTGGACTCTGTAGGACTTTTATTCTGTTACAGGGGCATGGTTAGGATTTATCTAGATTCCCTGACTGTCACAATTGTAGTGTAGATTAATTTATCCTTGACATATCTTCTCCCCAACCTTAAAGCTGGTCTAGATGAGGCCCTTTTAGTTCCTTCCTCATGTAACTTCTGAGCCTGTTCCTTGTATTCCTCTTAAAAAATTTTGGAAGAAAAAATTGGTGTGTGTTGACAGTGGGAGGCATATTACATGAGTACAGTCACAAGTTTTTGTTTTATGTTAAACTTTTTGGGACCCTTACTGGATATTTGCACTTTTCAGGCAACAGCAGAACAGATTCGCCTCGCTCAGATGATCTATGATAAGAATGATGCAGATTTTGAAGATAAAGTGAAACAAGTACGTTTCTCATGTTACTACTGGTGCATTAACTTTTATATGTAGCGTTAGTCTGGTGCTTAATCGTTTTGTTTGCTCAGGTTTCAGAGGACAGAGTGATTTCTTTGAAGCTTTCACATTGCATCCTCTATCCTTCAACCTACCCCTTGATTAAGCCCATTGGTGGCAGTGGGGAGCCCATGGTCTCTCAGCATGCCCTGAAGGTTAATGAATCCCGGTTGTGGTGGGAAACAAGTTCCAGAATACAGGACTTCTCACAGAGAATGCCCTGCCAGTAGCCTCCTCCCATTTAAATCAACCTAAACACCTCCGCTGATTGCATTTGTGGCTGTATTGCATGGGGGATAGTCTCCCAGGTAGGCATATCTCATACCAGGTAGGGCTTTGTTGGTCCAAATCAACAGCCAGAACGCCACGCAGAGGACAATAAGCAGGTCTGCTAAACCCTGTGTAATAACCAGATAGGTGCCTTCTGCACTAGCTCCTAGATGAGCCCAAGTTAAAGCACTATGTACCTCATAGTGCTCACATCTAATCTTAGGGTGATTATAACAAGGTGAGCTTTCAGAAGAAACTGTCACAACACGCAGATGAAAACGAAATGATGTTCGTCCCAGGTGGAAGCAGCCCAAGATATTTCAAGATCCTCAAACTGAAAAACTCAGTGACAAGTGCCAGCCTCAGTCAGAGGTGCCAATATTGTTGTTGTCAATTTTTCTGATTGCTTTTTCTGACCTACCAGTGTTTCATTAGGCTTGTCTGGATTGAACCTTATCCACTTAGTCCTTGTCCGTACCCTAATCTCCTAAAATACAGCATCCTTCTAATGAGCTGCTATTGCTTAATAATCTTTAGAATAATAATGATAATATATAATAATCCAAAGTGTATTTAGCTCTTGTGCATACACATACGTGGGAAGTATTTATCACCTGTGTAAACGGCATTTGCTAACATCTTGGCAGCTTTTCAGGAAAAGCTGAAGTTTAAACATAGCTCAAAGGTGAACTGAATCTTTTTAAAAAAAATAAACTGAGTTCCCAGATCATTAAGAGCATGTGTAGGCTTAAAATTGCAAATAAATTCATGGTAAAATCAAACTGCTTCTCATCAGTTCCTCTTCCATTTGCATGCCAGGATCTGGGTACAAGGCTTTAGGGTTCTAATTATCCTGGTGTAGTGGGTAATCACTAGCAACTTAAGCAGTATAAAGAGTTCAGTTCCTTGCTGTGCCTTGGGTTATGATTATCACTTGCTGCCAAGTGCTACTATTGGGGTTACTGTTGAAAAGCAATCAGCAGCTTCAGCTGGTGCAGAATCCAGCAGTCCACCCACTTAGAAGCCCAGCTTAGGGTGACTGCATGGCAGCTGTTCCCTTCCTTCCAGTGGCATTTTCTTCGGTTTCATTTATAAAGCCTGGTCTGAGGCATTCTTTATTCTGTACTTTTTCCTGATGTCTACATTACACAATTGTCTGGTATGTGCTCAGTTGCCATGGCAATGGGTGCACACCAGGAGCCAAATCGTGTATTCCCTGCTTGTAGCATAACCTGTGTGCATCTGTTAAGTGTGGAAATGCATAGGATTCCAAGACTCTGCATAGGAGGGCTACACTACCTGCAGGGACCAGAATGTGGCAGAGGCTTCCAACATACATGTTGGGTTTTTTTGTCGGGGGTAGGGGGGGCAGGTTGGGTTGCTGAATCTGCCACTACAAAGATTATATCTAGTCAGTCATCCCTCCCCCTCCCCGAAAGCGCACTGCAGAGACTGCTGTGGCCATGATGCTCTGTGGTCTATTGTGGGGAAGGTTTCCTCAGGCTTTTGCTCTTCTCTGCTGTACACAGCTATCTGACCCTAAGTCAGTGGTCCCCAAGCTTTTTATGTCACTCCCCCCTTACCTGTAATGTAATCTGTGTGTGCCCCCTGGGAGTAGGGCCAGGGGCTGGGGCTGAGAGCCGGGAGTGGGACCAAGCCGTGGTTGGGGGCCAACGCCAAAGCCAGGAGCTGGGACTGTGGCTGGGAGCGGGAGCTGCGGTCAGGAGCCAGGGCTGGGGCCGGAGCCAAAGAGGAGCTGGTGGGCAGTGTGTGGCTGGGTGGTTCTCCCTCCCTGCCCCCCATGGAGGCTGGCCCGGGCACCTTCCAAATGTTCCTCCACGCTCCCGTGGGGGGCTCACCCACAGTTTGGGGACCAGTGCCCTAAGTTATAAATAAAAAGCAAACACAGAAACCTGAGCTTAGATCTTGGCAAAGGTTAGGCTTTTCTGGTCACCCTTAAACTGTATTTATTTGTCCTGTATGTCTGCAAATGTGGTGTTAGTGACTCTGGGATCTCAAGCAATTCTTTAAAATATATGTATTTTAAACACAGCATTTCAGTTTGTCTTTGGTACAGCAGCAGTGTTCTTCTTGGGAGAGTCTGGAGTAGCACTAATTCTCGCCTTATTCCTTTTAATAATGGTTTGATATCTAATATGTCTTTAACTTTTTTTTTTTACCAGCTCATGGAAGTGACGGGGAAGAACCAGGATGAATGCATAGTGGCGCTACATGATTGTAATGGGGATGTGAATAGAGCAATCAACATACTGCTGGAAGGAAACTCGGACACAGTAAGGATCCACTTGTGAACAAAACAGCATATTTTTGTTATGGTCCCTTTTCCACTTTCTAGGAGTGGATTGTGGAGGAACAATCAAGCCCTTGACCTCAGGAATCTCCAATCCCTCTATCTCCTTCCAGCTCTCCCTAAAAAAGAAATGAAGACTGGGGAGACTTCTCACTCACATATTGATATGGTAAAATCTGGACTGTCCTTGGAGTGAAAAAAAATCTTTCATGCCAAGTAGTACACAAGAGAAGCACAAAAAGGAACATAGGTATTGAGAAATTTGGTCACCCTTTTTAGCATGCTCAGAGCAGGAGGGCTTCCCAGCCAGCAAGCCAGAATCTTTAGCTAGGTTCTTCGGATATTAACCTGATCCTGATGTATGATGTAGTATGTTAATGTTTTATTGTAACTTTACCTTAACAAAACGTTTAAAACAACAAAACTCAGGCATGCACAACAAAACACCCAAACCCCAAACTAAGCTTTGAAAACATTGTTGCTGTCCTGTCACTTTACTGCTGAGTCCCTCTGATAAACACTAAGGGTATGTCTACCTACGGAATAGGTCGAATTTATAGAAGTCGGTTTTTAGAACGGTTTTATAAATTCGAGTGTGTGTCCCCACAGTAAGCCTAAGTGCATTAGTGCATTAACCGGGAGGCTTCCACAGTACCGAGGCAAGCGCGACTTCGGACTGTGGGTAGCTACCCACAGTTCCCGCAGTTCCGCTGCCCATTGGAATTCTGGGTTGAGATCCCAATGCCTGATGGGGCTAAAACATTGTCGGGGTGGTTCTGGGTACATATCGTCAGCCTCGTCCTCCCTCCCCGTGAAAGCAAGGGCAGACAATCATTTCGCGTTTTTTCCTGAGTTACCTGTGAGAGCATACCAGGCAAGCATGGAGCGCTCAGGTAACGTCACCCTATGTTCCTGGGTGTGGCAGAGCGGTACGCATTGCTACACAGTAGCACAACCCTGCTTGTGGCAGCAGACGGTACAGTACGACTGGTGGTCATCGTCATGTCTGAGGTGCTCCTGGTCGCCTGTGAGGTCGATCAGGAGGTGGGCAGACAGGGCACAGGGACTAAATTTGGAGTGACTTGACCAGGTCATTCTCTTTAGTCCTGCAGTCAGTCCTATTGAACCGTCTTATGGTGGGGGCAGGGATACGGACGCTAGAGTCGTGTGTACCATCTTCTGCCGAGCAGTCATGAGATGTGGATGGCAAGTCCGTCTGCTGCCAGCCAAAGATGTAAAAGATAGATGGAGTGGGTCAAAACAAGAAATAGACCAGATTTGTTTTGTACTCATTTGCTTCCCCCTCCCCTGTCTAGGGGACCATTCTTCTAGATCACACGCAGTCAAGGTGCAGCGAGGTAAATCTAGCCATGTATCAATCAGAGCCAGGCTAACCTTCTTGCTCCAATAAGGACAATAACTTAGGTGCACCATTTCTTATTGGAACCCTCTGTGAAGTCCTGCCTGAAATACTCCTTGATGTAAAGCCACCCCTTTGTTGATTTTAGTCCCTGAAGCCAACCCTGTAAGCCCTCCCAGCGTCAGAGCAATGGCAAACAATCGGGCATCTGAGAGTGCTGTCCAGAGCAGTCACAATGGAGGCTCTGATGGGGCTAAAACATTGTCGCGGGTGGTTCTGGGTACGGTGTCAGGCCCCGTTCCCTCCCTCCCTCCGTGAAAGCAAGGGCAGACAATCATTTCGCGCCTTTTTCCTGAGTTACCTGTGCAGACACCATACCACAGCAAGCATGGAGCGCTCAGGTAACCGTCACCCTATGTCTCCTGGGTGTGGCAGACGCGGTACGGTTGCTGCACAGTAGCAGCAACCCTTGCCTTCTGGCAGCAGACGGTGCAATACGATTGGTAGTCGTCCTCATCGTGTCGAGGTGCCCTGGCGCGCGGCTGGGAGGCCTGGGCAGACATGGGCGCAGGGACTAAATTTGGAGTGACTTGACCAGGTCATTCTCTTTAGTCCTGCAGTCAGTCCTATTGAACCGTCTTATGGTGAGCAGGCAGGCGATACGGACGCTAGCAGTGTACTGTACCATCTTCTGCCAGGCAGGCAAGAGATGAGGATTGCTAGCAGTCGTTTGACCATCTTCTGCCAGGCAGGCAAGAGATGGGGATGGCTAGCAGGCGTATGTACCATCTTCTGCCAAGCAGCCATGAGATGTGGATGGCATGCAGTCCTTCTGCAGTCTGCTGCCAGCCAAAGATGTAAAAGATAGATGGAGTGGGTCAAAACAAGAAATAGACCAGATTTGTTTTGTACTCATTTGCCTCCTCCCCTGTCTAGGGGACTCATTCCTCTAGGTCACACTGCATCACTCACAGAGAAGGTGCAGCGAGGTAAATCTAGCCATGTATCAATCAGAGGCCAGGCTAACCCCTTGTTCCAATAACAACGATAACTTAGGTGCACCATTTCTTATTGGAACCTCGTGCAGTCCTGCCTGAAATACTCCTTGATGTACAGCACCCCTTTGTTGATTTTAGCTCCCTGAAGCCAACCCTGTAAGGTGGTCAGTCGCCTCCCTCGTCAGAGCAACGGCAGACAATCGTTCCCGCTTTTTTCTGTGGGACGCCATACCACGGCAAGCAGGACGTCAGCTCACTTTGGCAATTAGGAACATTAACCACCACACGCATTATTCAGCAGTTAGCAGCACCAGAACAGAACGCGATACCGGGCAGGAGGCGACGTCAGGGGTCCCGTGAGTGATCAGGACATGGACACAGATTTTCTGAAAGCAGGCCCTGACAATGCATGCATCATGGTGCTAATGGGGCAGGTTCATGCTGTGGAAGCGATTCGGCCGGAAACAAGCACAGACGGTGGGACCCATAGTGTTGCAGGTTGGGACGTCCCAGTGGCTAAAACTTTCGCATGGTAAGTGCACTTTCATGGAACTTTGTGATGCTTTCCCCGTCCTGAAGCATGAATACCAAGATGAGAGCAGCCCTCACAGTTGAGAAGCGAGGCAAGCCCTGTGGAAGCGCAACCCAGATACCGGTCAGTTGGGATCAATTTGGAGGGGCAAATCTACTGTGGGGGGCTGTGATGCAAGTACCCACCAATCAAAGTCTGCTGATATCAAGGGTAGGACCCTGGGAAATGTGCAGGTCATAGTGGATGGCTTTGCTGCAATGGTTCCCTAACTGGGTGGGGCTATAGATGGAACCCATACCCTATCTTGCACCACACCAAAACATAAACCCAAGGGTACTTTTCAATAGGCTCAAGCTGGTGGATCACAAGGACGTTCACCAACATCAACGTGGGAGGGGAAAGGTGCATGATGTGCATCTTCAAACCTGGTCTGTTTCAAAAGCTGCAGGAAGGGACTTTTTCCAGACCAGAAAATAACTGTTGGGGATGTTGAAATGCCATATGTATCCTTGGGGACCCAGCCTACCCCTTAATGCCAGGCTCATGAAGGTACACAGGCAGCTGGACAGTGGTCAGGAGCGTTCAACTACAGGCTGAGAAGTGCAGAATGGTGGTAGAATGTGCATTTGGAGTTTAAAGGGGTGCGCAGTTTTTGATCGCTTAGACAGCAAACCAATTACTGTTATTACTGTTGCTGGTGCACAATATCTGTGAGAGTAGGGGGGCGTTTATGGGGGGTGGGAGGTTGAGAACCTGGCGCGTTACAACACCAGGGGGTTAGAAGGCACAGGAGGGGGTACGCATCAAGAAGCTTTGAAAAACAGTTTCAGAGGCAGGCTACGGTGTAAAAGTTCTGTTTGTTTCTCCTTGATAACCCCCGCCCTTGGTTCATCTACTTCCTGTAAGTAACCACCCTCCCCTCCTCCCTTTAATCATTGCTTGCAGAGCCAATAAAGTCATTGGTTCACAGCTGCATTCGTTATTCATTCTCACACAAATAGGGGGTGAACAAGGATCCAGGAGGGGTGGTGGAGGAGGGAAGGAAAATGCCACACAGCACTTTAGCCAGCACTTTAAAAGTTTAAACTTTAAAATTTATTGAATGACAGCTTCTTTTTTTGGGCAATCCTCGTGGGGGAGTGGCGGTTGGGAGGCCCCCACCGTGTTCTTGGGCGTCTGGGTGTGGGGCTATGGAACTTGGGGAGGAGGGGGTTGGTTACAGAGGGGCGAGTGAGTCGTGTCCAGCTGCCTTTGCTGCAGTCAACCATACACTGGAGCATACTGGTTTGGTCCTGCAGCAGCTCAGCATTGAATCCTGCTCCTCTCATCACGCTGCGCACCTTGAGCTTCAGCCCTGTTTCAGCGCCATTACTTCTTCAGGCCATTATCTCTTCAGCACCTCTCCTCCCGGTCATTTTGTGTTTCCTGCACTCTGACATTATTTGCCCCACGCATTCGTCTGTGCTCTGTCAGTGTGGGAGGAAGCATGAGCTCGGAGAACATTTCATCGCGAGTGCGTTTTTTTTCTTTCTAAGCTTCACTAGCCTCTGGGAAGGAGAAGATCCTGTGATCATTGAAACACATGCAGTGGTGGAGAAAAAAAAGGGACAGGGTATTTAAAAAGACACATTTTATAAAACAGGCTACATCTTTCAGGGTAAACCTTGAAAGTTAACATTACATACATAACATGTGTTTGTTACAAGGTCGCATTTGTCCCCCACGGTGAACGGATTTTGGTTGAAGACAAACATACACTGCAATGCTTTGTTCTAAGGACCAGTAGTGTTGCTGGCTGGAGTGGTAAAGGTACCATGAAGGCGAAATAAGGCGCCCTCCCCAGAAACCTTTGCAAAGGCAGAACCGCAAATGCAGGGCAAAGTAATCCTTTCACATGTTGCTTTTAAACCATGTATAGCATTTTAAAAGGTACACTCACCAAGGTCCCTTTCGCTGCTGAGCCAGAGGACCTTGGGTGGGTTCGGGGTATGCCCAGGTCTAGGGTGAGAAACAGTTCCTGGCTGTCGGGAAAACGGTTTCTCCGCTTGCTTGCTGTGAGCTATCTACAACTCCTCCTCATCATTCTTGTCCCC